GGGCTCTCTGCTCAGCAGGGAGCCTGCTTCCCTTCCTCTCTCTCTCTGCCTGCCTCTCTGCCTACTTGTGATCTCTGTCTCTGTCAAATAAATAAATAAAATCTTAAAAAAAGAAAAAAGAGTTAGACACTTAACTGACCCATCAGGACCCAAGCATTTTTAAAACTGATCAAATATACACTTAAGATCTGTTGTTTCATTATAAATATAAATTATATCTCAATTAAAAAAACTTTTTAAGAAGTGTGCTGAAGAAGTTTGGAAGGGAAAATAATCCAACATTTACTGAGCACTTGCTAGCCCATTTATATATATTATCTCCATCTCAAATTCCTAAAAAGGGAGTATTCCCATTTTACAGATCAGAAAACCAAGGTTTATGAGGTTAAAATAATTCACGAGTCCCTAAGACTAGTAAGTATAGAAAATAGGAATAGCCTAGGTTTGTCTGACTCTTTCCTTTATAATAAGTTGTCTCAGGGAGAGTGGGAAAGTTATTTTCAACCTTGTGCAAGAAACTTACACTCCATTTGACTTCACTGCCATGTGATTCTAGGAAAGTCCATTTCCTTCTGGACCTTACTGGAGAGAATCCGATGAAGCTCATAATTGTTTTGTAACTCTGAGGTTCTAGTAATCAGAATACCCCCCATCCTTCTTGACAGGATAAGGCATTAGAAGCAATTTCCATTTATCTCAGGGCAGACTAAGGAGTAACAAAAGCTCTTTGACTCTGGTGAGAGGATAAATCATCAACTAGGTCAGTGACAGGAGAGCTGTAAGGTGAGGGAACCCAGCTGCCTCCTATTTAAGAGAAAAACCTGACTCATCCCTCAGTGATGTAATGGAAAGGGATGGCCTGGGAATCAAGAGATTTGAATCCTGTTCCCAAGGCATGCCTGTGAGGTGTGCTGTGACCTTGGGTAAAAGCACTCCCTTTCCTGGGTCCCTAACCTATACCTGCTAAAGGAGAGGGTTAGGCTAGCTGGGTCCTAATGTTCTTCAGCTCTAGTGTCTTGTCAGTTTATTAAACCCTGTGTCCTGCTTGCACAAATCACTAACAAGGAAAAGTCAGAAACAAAAAGAATGCAATTTTCCAGGTTCTAAATGGAGTCCTCAGGACATGGGGACCATGTGTAAGTATTTGTATACATCTGTTTATTCATTTTGATATTCCTGTCTCTATACATCTCCCCAAATTACACTCATCCATTAGCAACTTCTCTTTTATCTTCCCTAAAGGAGCCTCAGCAATGAGTAATTCTACAACCAAAATACCAGTCCTGATCTGAAAAATTTTGCCCAAGCTCACATTGGGCTTCACTTGAAAGCAGTGGCCTGCTGAACCTTCAGTGTCAATTCAGAGAAGCATTTTAACTGAAGGTAAATGCTATCTTGACAGCCCTCCCTTAGTGTTATACCTTAGAAGGAAATCTGAGTTTCCTATTGTTGCCTTTAGAGACCAAGGCGAAGAAACCAAAATAACTTCAGGACTGCAACTGTTGAATTTTAGAAAAGTACATGCAATGCTAAGAATGCTCTGGGCTCCCACAGACCTCTGCGTAGGGGTACCCCATAGCATCAGCGGAGTACAGGAGAGAAAGATCTGTCACTTACTAGTTATGCGACCCTTCAGGAGAAGGAAGTCACTTTCTATCTCCAAACCTCAGTTTTTCCATCTGTAAAACTGGGACAATACCATCAACGTCAAGGATAATTTTTATAAAGTACATAGCATAATGAGGGCTCCGTATGTGTGAGATACATACTGAGAGACTCACACACACTCATACATAGCCTTTTCACACACACCAATACCCATCCACGTGCACACACATATATACACCCTGAAAGACTGGTGTAAGGATTAGAGCTCACGTAGTACCTTGCACAGAGTCTAGCTCAATAAATGATCGCTATTATGTACAAAAGTATGAACTCACTAATGCCCAAAATAGGAAAAACATCAGAGGTCACTTAGACTAGTGGTTCTCAAAGAGGTAACCTTGGACCAGTTGCATGAGCATCAGCATCACCTGGGAACGTGTAAGAAATGCAAATTCTATGCCCTCACTCAGGATCTACTGAATCAGAAAAAATAGGGGTGGAGTCCAAAAATTTGTGTTTAAAAAGCCCCCAGGTGGTGATTTGGATGCACACTTAGTTTGAGAACCAGTGACTTAGATCAGGGTTTGACAAACTATTTTTAGAAAGGACGCATGATGAATGTTTTGCTTTTACAGTCTGTGTCACAACTATTCTGCCAGTGTGAAAGCAGCCCTACACCATATGTAAGTGAACGACCATGGCCCTGTTCCAATACACAGGCAACAGGGTTTTAGAACTAAATATAGGTGGTAGTTGTATAACATTGTGAATGTATTAAATACCACCAAATTGTCTGCTTTAAAATGGTTACTTTTGTGGTTTGTGAATTTCACTCCACTAAATTACTTTTAAAAAAACAGAGGCAGTCAGTGGGACTTGGCTTATCAGCAGGAGTTTTCTGACTTCTGACCAAGATCAACCTTAATTCTTTGTGTAAACTCATTCCAGGTAACCCTAATTAGCAGTTATGTAACATCTGCCTGAATGACGAGTCATTCACTACCCACAAAGTGTTATTTTTTCACTACCACCGGACCCTGATTCTATCTGGAGAGGTTTTTTCATATACAGAGCCCAAATCTCCAACCCTATGCCTTCTATCCCTAGGGGGTTTGCTTATGTTATGATCCTCTGTTTCACTAAAAGATTCAATGCCAGATTACTTGAAAGGATGAGATCTAACTGGGGAAATACTGAAGGGAAACATGCTTCCGTGCTAAAGAGAAAATATAATCCCTTAAAGATACTCCACAGGGGCGCCTGGCTGGCTCAGTTGGTGGAATATAACTCTTGATCTCAGGGTTGTGAGTTCAAGCCCCACAACGGGTGTAGAGATTACTTAAAAATAAAATCTTAAAATAAAAATAAAAGATATTCCACAGGATGGACTGACTTCTTACATACATACACACGCCCTTCAGCTGCAGATTTTTATTAGATGGAGAATGTCTTAGGTTGGCCCAAAGGAAAGTGGTGACAATTGGCAAGCACTCCTCCATATAAGAGAGGAGGCATTCCTGGCTAATGGGGACGGGTAGTTATGATAGCTAAAAGTCAGGGTCTTCTGCTTAACATTGACCACTCAACATCACGAGTCCTGACACGAGAGTCTGCAGTGAGCTAGTTTAACTTGGCCAACAGTTCTTCCAGTTCTGGCCGAGCTTTGAACCTTCCTTTGAAGTCTTCTTCAGTGTGCTGGGGAGAAGAAAATGAAAATAAGGGGGAATTACTGCAGAGCTTTCAGTTATTCAAACATACACAGCATTAAAAAAAAACAAAAAAAAAATCCATCAGCCAGCTCTGTGGGGAATGATTCAGATTTGACTAACTTTTATTGAGTATCTACTCTACACCAGACTTGTATTAGATACCAAGGATTCTGAATAGGACTTCCTCCCTGCCTTAAGTGAACTTAGAGTCAGTGAGAGAAGACAGACATATAAAGAACGAATGTCAAATGCTGTGAGTATCTCATTAGAAGCACTTAAAGAGACACAATGCCCAAATTCTCCATCTACGATCAGAAATAACAGACCTAGGGACTGGAATATTTAAGTCAGCATGACCAGCGCATTTTCCCCTGTACACAGATCTGTGTGAAACCCAAGTAACAAGAGGAGGACTGATAACATGGGCTCAGAACAAGGACAGCTGGATGCAGCCGATGGCATCAGTCTAAAATGACCTGATGGATCTGTGTCATAACAATGCTTAGCTTGGCAAATGGACCCAAATACTCAGTGTTTAGGCTCAGGTTCCTAATGTTTTCCAAGTTTTCTATGCCAGCTTTCCTTCTGATTGGCATTTGTTTCTCAGCCAAGCCTTGAAGATCCAGAAAACTTCTCTTTAGAGTATATTTCCGTATTTGTGTTCTGACTAATTATACTGTATGTAATCTTGAATCATGTTCTTTCTATCCACAATTATGGGCTCACCCCTAACATCAGAATACTGTGATGGAGTTCAGCTCCTGTGGTCCTTTCAGCATCAGCTCTGATGCACCAGAAGGGCCAGTAAAATGATTACAGTAAAACCGGTCTGCACAGCTTTCTTGTTTATTATCCACATTTCTGTCCTGTTTCTAATACCAGATGCTCTTATCCATATTTTGAGCACAGGTGGGCCACCAGGGGGCCTCTTCTCAAACTAGCACCTACCTCCTTCACTGATAATCTGACTCCTTCGGGAAGATTGCTTTGGATTATTTCCAAGAAAATCTCTGCAAATGTAGCACTCAAACCGCTGATCTGCAAAAGGAAAGGAGATGAGAGACGGTAGTGAAAGCCAGGTGACTGACAGACATGGCACGGGCTCAAATATCAGCTTCAGCAGCTACAGGGCCCGTGGGTGGAGGGTTAACACGAAGAGCTGATTTCAGAGCCCGGCCTTTATAGGATTTCTCTTGTCATCAGTCAAGGGATCTGCTTGCTGACATAGTCATGGCCCCAATACCTGCCGCTGTAGACAATGGATGTCATAACTCGACTAAGAAGTTATCAAGTCCAGGACGATTTTCTGATTCAACTCAGATTTACCCACATAAACCTGACTGGTGTCAGACACTGCACGAAGAATCCAGAGGTGAATCAGATGTGTGGTACAGGGACATGCAGGGGACTGCAGGAACCCACAAGAGAAATCTCTACCTAACTTGGGAGGTGGGGTCAAAGAAGCCTCCAAAAAAGGTAACTTCTAGGTGGAGTCTTGAAGAAAAACAGGAGTAAACTGGGAGAATTCAGCAGTAGTATGGAGGGATTTCAAGGCAGAGGAAATAATATTCGGTAAAATGTGGATGCATATCACCATACTAGGGAATTAAAACTAGTTCCGTGTGTGGTTACAACAAATGGGGAAGAGGAAAACCAGGAAGAGAATCCTAAAGGTATTTAGGCACTAAAGAGTCCAAACTTTGTCCTATGGCCCCGAGTGGCAAGTTGGATCTTTAAGATCTGTATCCCAAAAAATTCATTTCTTTTTTTTACCAAATAATTTATTTCTGATAATATTTAAAAAACTAGATTGTTAAGTAGTTGTTTATTATTTTAAAGTAGGCGCCACACTCAGGGGTGCCTGGGTGGCTCATGGGTTAAGAGTCTGCCTTTGGCTCAGGTCATGATCCCAAGGTCCTGGGATCAAGCCCTACTCTCCCTTTCTGGCTGCCCCTCCCCCCACACACATTTGCATATACTTTCTCAAATATAGAAAGTCTTAAAAAAAAAAAAAAATGTAGGCTCCATGCCCTGCATGGAGCCAGGTGCAGGGCTTAAACTCATAACCCCAAGATTAAGACCCAAGCTGAGATCAAGAGCTGAGCCCTTAACCAACTGAGACACCCAGGCACCCTAGTACTTAATTATTTTTAAAGTTAGCATAGATTTAAGGTGATACTACCTAAACATTCATCTCATTATCTTGCTGATATACTTCTTGAATGGTTCTAAAAGGGGTGCTGTCCATACATTAGAATATTATTTGGCAATAAAAAGGAATGAAGCACTGACACATGCTACAACATGGAGAAACCCTGAAAACATGCTAAGTGGAAGAAGCGGCATAAAAGACCCTATATTGTACAGTTCCGTTTAAATGTCCCAAAGAGGTAAAACCACAGAGGCAGAAAGAGATTAGTGGTTGTCAGAAGCTGAGAAAAGGGGGAGAGAGGAGTGACTGTAAATGGGTAGTTTCTTTTTGGGGTGATGAAATTGATTGTGGTGATAGTTGCATTAACTGTGAAATATATTAAAACCCATTTAATTGTACACATTAAAAGAGCAACCTGTATATGAATAAAACTCTCAATAAAGCTGTTATAAAAAGGGTGATATTGGGCACCTGGGTGGCTCAGTTGGTTAAGCAACTGCCTTTGGCTCAGGTCATGATCCTGGAGTCGTGGAAGTCCCACATCAGGCTCCCTGCTCGGCAGGGAGTCTGCTTCTCCCTCTGACCCTTCCCCTTCTCATGCTCTCTCTCTCTCTTCTCTCTCTCAAATAAATAAATAAAATCTTAAAAACTTTTTAAAAAGCCGGTGAAATTAAGTATGAATTTTTAATAACTCTGGGCACCCTCATGGTAGTGTGGTTCTCACCCATCTGTCTCTGCAGTAAAACAATAGAAACCATGGCTAGATTTAAAGGGAAGCCACAAAGGGGTTTTGCTCTCAGCATCGGGCTCTCTGCTCAGTGGGGAACCTGCTTCCCCTTCTCTCTCTGCCTGCCTCTCTCCCTACTTGTGATCTCTCTCTCTCTCTCTCTCTGTCAAATAAATAAATAAAATCTTAAAAAAAAAAAAAAAAAAAAAACTAAACCCTAAAGAATATTATCATTCAAGATGCAGCCAAGAGGAAGAGAAGGGCACGGTAGAAAAAGAAAAAAGGGGGGAGAGAGGCAAATATGTTTCAAGGTTCTCCCAGAGTACCTACCTGAACCACTCGCTCATGGGTGGTGAGAACTGAGTCCAGGAGCATTTTGCTGCCTTGGTCCTGTAGCTGTAACACCTCCATGGTTTTGGTGGGCATAGCATAACTGTGGGGGGGAAGAGGGGGTTATGAAGAAGGCTCCCTTAAGTTAGTGCCACTTCTACCAGGGAGTCCCTGAGTACAGACACTGCTGTAATGCAGTAGCTCCTGGAATCTAGGGCTCCTCCTCTGCAGCCAGAGGGAAGGAACCTGCTCCTCCTAAACCATCTCCAGAAGCCTCTTAACTCCCTGAGGGGACAGACCATGTCGAATGCCTTTCTGCATCCCCAGTTCTTGCCTGACACAACACTGAATAAAATCTGGTGATTAATAACTTATTTGCTGCTACAAAAGAAAAGCCAATTCTAAAAGAATCAATGTCATCACTCTGGAGGCTAACCTTGGGTATTTCACCTCTTCTGGAGAAATGAGGCATGAAACCCAACTGTTTTCAAAGAGCAAGATTTCTCAACCTCAGCACTATTAACATTTTAGACCAAATGATTCTTTGTTGTGGGGGGCTGGCCTATGTATTCCTAATCGCTACCCACAAGATGCTGGTAGTACCCTCTGAAGTGGTAATAATAAAAATTATCCCCAGTGGCGCCTGGGCAGCTCAGTTGGTTAACTTTCTGACTTCAGCTCAGGTTATGATTCCAGGGTCCTGGAATTGGCCCTGCCTCAGGTTCTGCACTCAGTGGGGAGGCTGCTTCTCTTCCTCCTTCTGCCCCTCCCTCTGCTCATGCTCTCTCTCTCTCTCAAATAAATAAATAAAATCTTTAAAAAAAAAAATCGTCTCCAGACATTGTTAAATGTCCCCAGCTTGAGAAATACCATTGTAGAGATTGCTTGCTTTGACCAGCTTCATAGCAATGAAAAGAATACTGGATTTGAGGTAAAATCTTAGTCCTGTAGCTTATTAACAATATTTACTAAGGCAAGTTACTTGTCTCTCTGGGCCTCAGTTTCTTCCAGAATAAAGAGGATTACAATCTAGGTCCATATCAGTGTGTGAAGATCAGGCACAGTGATGAGATAGGATTGATGGCTACACAGAAATGTGGTACTACTGCTGTGTTTGTCTTATCAAAAAGTTCACCAAAATGAAGATAAGTAAAATAACAACAGTAGAATTCCTGAATTTTCATGTCACAGAAAGCTTCATCAATTGATAACAAGGGGCATGGCCCTCTACAAAATGAATAATGGAAATAATGGAAAATGGATTAGAGACACAACAGTCAGTCCATTTAAATATTGGCTCTGTCAATACCTATTTAACGCTGGACAAATTAATTCAACCTTTGAGTCTCAGATTCTTCAGCTACAGAACGGAGATAATAAAGATAATAATACCTAGTTCATAAGGTTGTTGCAATGATTAAATGACATTACTTGAGCAATTTGCATGTCATAATATGCCTACAAATGCCAGTTCCCTTGCTCTTACAAACAGTAAATGCTAGGTATTACAAACTCTTCCAGGTAACCTCCCTAAATAACATTCCTTCCCACTTTCCTGCACAATATCTGACCTCCTCTTCCAATTCAAATTTGGTAATAACTTCCCTACATAATTAAGGACCCATTCATAGACTTGTTATGGAAGAGCAAATAAAATAACTATGCAAAGCTTTCAGGAAAGTAAAAAGCACTCCAAAATGCTGTTTTTCCTTCTTGACATTCTGCAGATAAGACTGACTGACTAAAGTGGGAGTTGTCCACTCCTGCCACTGAGCATGCATTTTATTCTTCCAACACTTGCTTTAGCAAGATGTCATTTATTTGTTTGTTTATTCATTCATTCATTCATTCATTCATTCAACAAACATTTACTGAAAGTCTGTTCTGTCCTAGGCATGCTGGTGGGCAATATGCAGCCTGTGCTTTTTTTTTATTTTAAGATTTTATTTATTTATTTGATAGAGAGAGAGAGAGCAAGAGAAGCAACTCACACAGTGGGAGTCGGAGAGGGAGAAGCAGGCTTCCCCCTGAGCAGGAAGCCCGATGCAGGGCTTGATCCCAGGACCCTGGGATCATGACCTGAGCCGATGACCTGAGCTGAAGGCAGATGTTTAACGACTGAGCCGCCCAGGCGCCCCCAGCCTGTGTTTTAAAGGAGCTTGCTAAGAGTGTTTTGGAGAGGCAAACGTCTTCACTACAGTAAGACAAAGGCAATAATAGGCATGCAGTGAATATTACAGGGACAAGAGAGAGAAGGGGGCTCAGAGAAGACTTCACAAGTGAGATAGGCTTTTACCAAGATGTTAAGAATAAACATATAGGTGTTTGCCTGGAGAACATTCCAAAAAGTGAAGTTATCTACAAAGGCATGAGAGGCCCTCAAAGAGAACTAATAGAAAAGCCAGACATAGTTTGATAAAGAAATACTGGAACTCTGTTCATTTCAAGGTAGAATAGGCCTTTGAGTAGTTAAGAATATAGGTAATTTCTCTTTAGTGTCTACACTTTTCCGTACTTTACAAATTTTCTGCAATAAACATTACTTGTGGGGGCGCCTGGCTGGCTCAGTCATTAAGGGTCTGCCTTTGGCTCAGGTCGTGATCCTGGGGTTCTGGGATCAAGCCCCACATTGGGCTCCCTGCTCAGCAGGAAGCCTGCTTTTCCCTCTCCCTCTGCCCCTGCTTATGTTCCCTCTCTGGCTCTGTCTCTCTCTGTCAAATAAATAAATAAAACTTTAAAAAAAAAAAAAAAGGGGGACGCCTGGGTGGCTCAGTTGGTTGAGCGGCTGCCTTCGGCTCAGGTCATGATCCCAGCGTCCTGGGATCGAGTCCCACATCGGGCTCCTTGCTTGGCGGGGAGCCTGCTTCTCCCTCTGCCTCTGCCTGCCACTCTGCCTGTGCTCGCTCTCGCTTCTCTCTCTATGACAAATAAATAAAATCTTTAAAAAAATAAATAAATAAACATTACTTGGATGATCAGACAGGAAAAAAAGGAGGGAAGAAATGAAATAACATAATGTCAAAAATCAATCTAAAATGACAAAATAATGCTACCTTCGGGGAGTACTACCTGGGACGGGACACAGGGGAGCCTGCTGGGGTGCTAGGAAACTTAGATATCTGTGGACGCTACTAAATATACACTTGATCTTAGCCAAAAGGCCGAGAAGCGATGGACGCTACTAAATATAAATGATACCTCAATTTTACTTTTTTTAAAGATTTATTTTTTTTAATATTTGAATGAGACAGAGTATGCGTGTTCGTGAGTAGGGGCCAGGAAGGGCAGAGGGAGAGGAAGAATGAGAGAGAGCCACAAGCAGACTCGCGGGCTGAGTGCTGAGTACGATTCCCCATGCAGGGCTCCATCTCATGATCCCAGACCACGATCTGAGCTGAAATCAAGAGTTGGACGTTTAACCTGCTGAGCCACCCAGGCGCCCCTGTACTTCCATTTTAAACAGTGTAAGTGGACTTCAAGAAAAAGGGTGGGGGGAGAGTAGCCTTACAGAAAGTGATGTTGAGCAATGCTTTTATTCTCCACAAAGCACAGGGGCTAGATCAGCTTCAGGCTGGGAAGGTGCTCCCACATGAGTTAAGATTTCCGTTTCCAGGCAGCTGCTCAGCAAGGGAGGCGGGCAAATTAAGAGACCTGCAGGCCAGGCTTCTTCCTCTACCCTCCTGGGTGAGTTGCAGCTGCAGCAGTGCAAACCATTTATAGAACAAAAGCCAGCACACCGCTCCCATGCCCAATTCCATCTCAAGGTCAGAGCCCTACCCTGCCACTCCCAGAGGAAAAAATGGATCATGATGAAATGAAAACAAGAAGAAAAGAAAATCATTTCATCTCTGAAAAGCTGGGCAGTGAGAATGCCTAACAATATGATGGTCTGAAAACCTCAATCAATGCAGGGCAGTGAGTTGCTGAAAACGAACATCTCTTTGTGCTCTATGCTATTTGGAGCAAAGAGCAGAAAAGAGGCAAAAAGCAGGACATCATTCAGTCTGCTGTTCTAGGAATCATGTCCATGACTATTGAAACTCAGTCCAAGTCAGTGAATATTTATGCAGTGCTTACTATGTGTCAGGGACTGGGCAAGGTCTTAGGGTTAAACTGTTAATGAAGACAGGAACAGTCCTCGCCTTAGAGATCTTAGAGTCTAAGAAGGAAGGCCAATAATCATCAAGTAATTACAAGGGCAAGGAGTGGGCACTATGAAAAGGAACTTATATAACCTTTACTTCTCCTAAATATATAACATAAAGACCTAATTTAATGAGGTGCTCTTTTTTTTTTTTTTTTTTTTTAATGAGGTGCTCTTAAGAGGTGACACTCAATATGAAGCCTAAGAAAGAAGTAGGGGTTAGTTACATAAAGGGGAAAGAGTATTCGAAGTTTTATGGAGAGCAAGCATATGCACAGGTCCAGAAGTGGAAGGGGATCAAAAACAAAGTCCATGTTAACTGGAGGGAGAGGGAGAGGGAAATGGAAATGAGTTAAGGCAAGAGAAGCAAGCCCAGGCCATAGGGCACCTAGCAAACCATATGAGAAACTTTAATTTTGATCCTAAAGGAATGGGAATCCAGAGAAGGATTTTAAGCATGGTAGTAACCTGATCATATTTCCATTCTAGAAAGATCACACTGAAAGCTGTGTGAGAACCAATTATGAGGAATTAAAAATTTGAAAAAAAGTGGGTTCAAATCCAGACCTTGCCTTGTATTAGATGTCTGACCACAGGCAAGCTTCTATTATATTAACAACAACAATAATAATAGCAGCCAAGTGTTGCTGGGAACAGTTATAATATATTTAATATTATAATATATAATATTATATATATGTATTAGCAACTTCATTTTACAGATGAGGAAACCAAGATACAGAGTTTAAGTAAACTGCGCAATGCCACACCATAAGAATGCTGCAGAACAAGAGTAAAACCCAGACAGTCTGGCTACAGACTCAATGCTTTCATTTGTGAATATGTGCAAGGTGCTTGTTTGAATTAAGCAACATTATACAAAAAACGCCAGAGTGGTTGGCTAATAGTAGGTGCTCAACAAATGCTACTGCCTCCCTGCCTTTACTCAAATGAAGCCA